TCTAGGGGGAGTGAGGATTCAAACTTGCTATTGAGACTTGCTAATGGACTCAAACGTACCACTGATTGCAAGGATGGTGCAGGACCGGGCAACATTTCATTATGTTATACGTAAATGCGCCGTGAGTCAGAGCCGACTGGACAGCAGCTAACAACGACAACAACTGCGTGGGGCATTGTAATATTAAAACACTGGAGTCCCGGCCCCTCTGAAGATGCTCTTGTTCACTGTCTCTTGCGCCCCACCAGCCACACTTGAGGGGAGGAGATGAGCAAAGCCTCTCTGCTGTGGAGATTTTCTACTTCTCCACTTTCTTGTCTTCTAAGTGCTCTCCCTGCCATTCACACAGTTATGGGTCCCAATCTATCACCATTAATTTTTTTTATTATGGTAAGCATATGTATAACAAAACATTTATCAGTTCAACAATTTGTACGTGTATGATTGAGTGATGTTGTGACACTCATCATGTGTGCAGCCATCACCACTCTCCTTTTCCAAATTGTTCCACCACCATGAACACAGCCCCCTAAGCAATGACTCCTCTTTCCTCCCTTCCACTCGCCCTTTGGTCCCTATACATTTGCCTATTCTAGATACGTCACAGAAGTGGGATCATACAATATCTGCCCTTTTGTATCTGACTATCTCATTCAGCATAATGCAAAAGCTGGCCAAAGAATAAGGAAGGCTGAAGAAGAATTAATGCATTTCAATTATGGCGTTGGCGAAGAATATTGAATATACCACGGACTTCTGTCTTGGAAGAAGTACAGCCAGAATGTTCCTTAGAAGCAAGGATAGTAAGACTTCGTCTCATACTTTGGACATGTTATCAGGAGGGACCAGTCCCTGGAGAAGGACATCATGCTTGATAGAGGGTCAGCGAAGAAGAGGAAGACCCTCAATTAGATGGATTGACACAGTGGCTGCAACAATGCGCTCAAGCATAACAACGACTATGAGGATGGCGCGTAACGGGGCAGTGTTTCGTTCTGTTGTACAGAGGATGCTATGAGTCGGAACCGGCTCAACGGCCCCTAACGATAACTAGCAATGTTTTCAAGCCTCATCCATGTTGTAGCGTGCTTCAGAACTGCATTTCTCTTTATGGCTGAATAGTACTCCATTGTATGTGTGAACCACATTTCGTGTATCCATTCGTCTGTTGATGGACAGTTAGGTTGTTTCCATATTATTGCTAGTGCTGCAGGGAACATGGGCATCACCACTCTATCATGAGCTTGAGGGAGGAGAAGAGATACAATGTCTACATCCCCTGAATAAATCCTCCAGGGTGTGGCCAATGTTCGCAACAGAAGGCTTTGCAACAGAAGGCTTTGGTCTGACTTACTCAATGGATTTCAGTTGCTGGGCGGTTTGAAACTAGCATTTGTTTGGGGTAATACGCATGTTCTTGATGCAGCACCTAACAACAATAGCAAACCACAAAACCAAACCTGTTGCTGTCAAGTTGATTCCGACTCACAGCAACCCTACAGGACAGAGTATTCCTGCCCCATAGGGTTTCCAAGGCTGTAATCTTTATGGAAGCAGACTGCCACAACTTTCTTCTGTGGAGTTACTGGTGGGTTCGAACTGCCAACCTTTCGGTTAGCAGCCAAACGCTTAACCACTGTGGGATCAGGGCTCTTTTGATTCAGAGTACATACATTTAAAAAAAAAAAAAAAAGGCACTAAATTCCTATTAATATTTCTTTTCAAAGAGCACCCAGCTCATTTTCTGACTCAACAGCTGGTGCTCAGTGATGTCTGGATTTGCAGTCAGATGAGCTAACCTGGGTGCTGTGTTGGTTTTGCGTGGAGAATAAAGCTTTGTCTTATGTTTCGCTACTTTTGCTTCTGATACCAAAAAAAAAAAAAAAAAGCCTGTCAAAGAACGTTTAAATACAAACTTTACTGCAGCAAAGAGATCAGAATGATTTCTTATGTAAACCAAAATGAACAGTTCACATGTCTGCCAGTAGCTGGAAAAACCATCTTTTACAGATGCAAACTCTGGATATAAGGCCAACGACAGAGCTTGTTCGGGTCAGCAAATGCCCTCAGACCCCGCGGAAAATGTCAGGATAACGTCCTGGTTGAGGGATAGAAAGAGATGACAAGAGAGGAGTAACGGATTGCATTGCCAATCAATGACCAGCTTCCTGCTGGACATCCTGAGTGACCTTCCCATCCAGTTATGTCAAAGATTCAAATCAGATTCCCAAAGGCATGTTTCATGTAAAGGGACCAGGGTTTCTTTTTTCATTGGGTGGGATCAATCTTTTTTTTTTTTTTTTAATCGTGGTGAAAATATACACAGCAAAGCAGACACCAATTCAGCAATTTCTACATGTATAATTCAGTGGCATCGATTACATTCTTCAAGTTGACAACCATTCTCGATATCCTTTTCCAAATTATTCCACCACCATGAACATAAACTCGGTGCCCCCTAAGCAAAAACTCCCCCGTACCCCCTCCCCGCCGCCCCCGGTAACCACCAAGAATCCTTGGTTTCGACAGAGTTTCTTATTTCATATAGGTGAGTGAATATAGCATTCGTCTTTTTGCGACTGACTGACCTCGTTAAGCATGTTCTCAAGGTTCATTTGTATTGCGGCATGTGCACCAGCACTTCATTTCTCTTCAGGGCTGCATAATATTCCACCGTCTGGCTAGACCACATTGTGTTTATCCATTCATCTGTTGACAGATATGTCAGTGCTTTCCACCTTTCAGCTACTGTGAAAAGTGCTGCCGGGAACACTGGTGTATCAAGGTTGGCTTTCATGTGGCTTCTGGTGTATGTGGCAGGACATGCCCTGTCTGTCCACCCCAGCAATGCCGGGGAAGAGGAAGCCCCCTCCCATCCTGACAACTCTCTTCCCCCTTGAAGCATCCACGCCCTCCCCTGACTGTCCAAGCCCCTCCTGTGACAATTCAAGGGTGCCATCTTTCTTCAGCAATATAACAATCAGATTGAAGGAGCCTGCACTGTAAGGGGGCCTACACAGAAAATACAAAGGGCTTCTGACGTTTTCTAAAGAGAAGCCGGAGCCTATCACAGCCTCTTCTGTCTCTTTCTGTAGCGACTGAGGCTCCACTCCTGCTTCAGGCCCATTTTCCCAAGGGGCAGACAGATGCAAACTGCTCCCTGGGAGGAAGGAAGGAAGACAGGTCAGCTAGCAGAAACATTTGAAAAGATAGGTCCTCCTCATCCCTCTCTGGACCCTTCTTCTCCCTCCTGGAAGTCACTGTATTATATTGGAACAAGTTTATTCACTTCTCTGAGTCTCAGTTTTACACATCCGTGAAATGGGGACCAGCACGGCACCTGTCTCTTAAGGATGGAATGAGGGCTTAACGACAACACGCGTGAAAGTTTGTAGCACAGAGCCTGCCATCTAAAAGACATTCTGTAATCGTTGTATACTGAGGCCCGCATAAACTCCGGGCCTGACAGAGGAAGAAACGGAAGCCCGGAGAGAGGAAGTTCCTTGTCCATGCTCAAAAGCATCGGACTGTATCTCTTTTAACCACCCTGCCCCTGACTTGCCTGTGCGTGCAAGAAACATGATAAAAAAATAACGGTGCTGAGGAGGTACCACTGATTTTTCAAATAAACGTCCTGAGACTAAAAACGAGTGGGTCTGTACCTTGAAACACGAAGAATTTTTTTGTATCTGGTCAAGGTACTTCATTCTAGCCGCCTATCTTTCAAATTCTCGAGAGTTACAAGGGATTTCTTTGTAACACATATATATATATGAAATACATACGCACAGAGAGAGAGAGAGACAGTACATATAGATAGAGAGTTCCTGGGTGGCGCAAATGCTTAAGCACTCAACTACTAACCAAAAGGTCAGTGGTTCAAGTCCACCCAGAGGCACCTAGGAAGAAAGGCCTGGTGATCTGCTTCTGAAAGTTCACAGCCACTGAAAATACTATGGAGCACAGTTCTAGTCTGACACACGTGGGGTCACCATGAGTCAAAGTCAACTTGATGTCGACTATTTTTTTTCCTCATATATACATCGATGGAGTCCTAGTGGCACAAGGGTTAAGAGCAGAGCTCGGCTGCTAACCAAAAGGTCGGCAGTTTGAATCCACCAGCTGCTCCTTGGAAACCCTATGGGGTAGTTCTACTCTGTCCTGTAGGGTCGCTATGAGTCAGAATCGACTTGACGGCAACAGGCATATATACATAATTTTTCAAGATTTATATCAGATTCTATATTAAAACAATCTATGACCAGCCCAAATCCTTTTTTCCCCAGGTTCTGTGTGTAATTAATTTTTAATCCTAGTATTTAATTTAAGCATCTGCTTATATGAGGACCCGGCTGTATTTGAACAATTTTGAGGGGAAATATGACAGTCACGTCCCCTTCAGACAGACGCAAAATAGACGTCGTTACAGTAAAACCACCTAAAATGACGCCGATGGGTTCCAGGCAGCCGTCCCGTGGTGCAAAGCCCTGTATCGCTTGGGTCAAACGGCAAACGGATGAAACTATGAACCAGCTAACCAGGCCCTGAGCAACCCAGGGACGAGCCAACCAGGACCTTCAATGCCAGCAGGCGTTCCCTCTCTAATTGCAGGTAAGAGTAACTGCAGTCATGCGGCTGTCCCAGCGGAGGAGCGGCTCATTCCTCCCCATTTGGGGCCGAGGCGATGAGAGGGGACTTGAGAGGGTATGGGAACCCGGTGTCATACAGCCAGCACCTCCGCAGCCCAAAGGCCCATCTGGGCTGAGCATAGTGGGGATCCCCTAGATGACCACGCAAAGTGCTGACCGCCCCCGCCAGGGCCCCACCTGCCCGGCCACATCCCAACACGTCTGTGGGGTGTCGCTGCTGTCCCAGAGCGCCCCCTCGGCTGCTCCAGTGCAGACCACTGACCCGGCCTCTCCTCCCACAGCCCCTTGACTGAGTCCGCTGTCAGCAGCTGATCCCGGTGAGGGTGCATCACAGCGGGACCTCCCTGGCCTTCAGCATCCCCGACTGTGCCCCTCAGCACGCGGGAATGTGGCCGCAGCCTCCGTGTCTGTTACAGACTCTTTGTAGGGTGGAGGGGCCTCTGGCTGGGTCTGGATTTCACCGCTGACGTCCAGGCCCACCTCGATGTACAGCGGCGGGGGGATCTCGGAGGCAGCTCCCCTGGTGCGACAGGCCCGCTTGTCCACATGGAGGCTCTCTTCATAGGCTGGAGGGTAGAAATCTGGCCTGGATCAAAGCACATCACAGACACACGAGCGTTACTGAAGCGGGTCATGCCAAGGCAGCGTATGTCTTTCTCCGCTCACACTTCGCCAAGTGAACCTGCTAAGAAACATTAATCCTGAAACAGACGCACCTCTTCCCCGGAACCCCCAGTGTTTTAAATGCACTGCTGCTCCCCGGCACAGCCCTCTTTCCGCCATAGCAACTGGATCTCCAGTCATACCTTCCCCCAGGCTATTCCTAATTTTCTGGAAGAAAGGCCTGGTGATCTGCTTCCGAAAATCAGCCCATGAAAACCCTCTGGAACCACAATGATTCGATCCTGTTGAGCATGGGGTCGCCAGGAGTCGGGGGCCTATTCGATGGCATCTAACAACATTCCTAATTTCCTACCACCCGTCTGCCTTCGGTATTTCAAATACCAGCAGGGTCACTCACGGTGGACAGGTTTTAGCAGAGCTTCCAGACTAAGACAGACTAGGGAGAAAGGCCTGGTGATCTATTTCTGAAAGATTTCCCACTGCTATCAAGTCGAGTCCGACTCATAGCAACCCTATAGGAGAGAGTAGAAGTGCCCCATAGGGTCTCCAAGGCTGGAGTCTTTGCGGAAGCAGACCGCCACAGCTTTCTCCAGCGGAGCAGCTGGTGGGCTTGAACCACCAACCTTTCAGTTAGCAGCTGAGCATTTTAACCACTGCGCCAATGGAAACCCTACGGGTCACAGCAGAATATTATCTGATACAGGGCTGGAAAATGAGCCCCTGGGTTGAAAGCACTCAAGATACAAAGTGGCTGCAACAATAGACTCAAGCATGTCAACCACCGAGATACGGTGCAGGGCTGAGTCGTGTTCTGTTCTGTCGTGCACACGCGGGGTCACATTCTTAGTTCTAGGCTGTTTCCTCGCTCTTGCTCACTCATGGAACCAGGAGCATTCAGCGTGAGGTCCTTATCAGGGTGAGCAGACATAGGACCTTGACTGGAGAACTTCCGTCTACCCGGTTGTTTAGTCCATTCTCATCCTCGTCCCCATTCAACATGTCATCTCCTACTGAGCTGCACTGTCGGGGCGCCTCCCACCCACGAAAGAATGAAGGAAAGCCAGCTGCGGCAGTTCCCTGAGCTATGCCAGATGCTCCAGATGTTCCCCGTTCCCACCACGCTTTCCAGTCTCAGTAGCTTGTTTCAAAGAAAACATACAACCATACTCATTTCCAAACTGTTTCAATGGGCAGCTTGACGCCGATTTCACCTGCAGCCTTTGCTGTACCAACAGGCCAACAGCGAAGGGGCCGTTCACGCCAGAGCTGACGTCCTCCTTGGTAACCTTGCCCGACACTGCTCACTGCGGACTCCTCTGGCTTCTCCCAGGGCTGGGGGTGGGGTGGAGGTGAGGAAGAGCGAGGGGTGAGCTGGGCTGAGTTGTGTATTTACGAAGGGAGTGCTGCCCGTGCCTTTGGGGAGTGTTTATGGTGGGTAACCACAACACGACCGGGGCTGCCTGCCATTGTAGCCACAGTGCCACTCCAAACGTAGCCAGGCCTGACGCCAAACAGCCAGAGAAGCCGTCTACTGTACGGTGTAAATCTCAGCCCTCACCAGAATAGCCAAGGTCGCGTCACCGGGCAGGGAGTAAAGGTGTTGCAGGCAGAAAGGTGAGATTTGAGAGGCTCCGGGGTGACTGTTGCCTGCTCCAAAACCCCGTTCCCCTCGCCTGATGCCCTCCCTCCTCCTGCCACTGCCATGAACATTCCCAGGGCTCTAAATATACCATTAGAGATTTATTTGTTTGGATGTCTCCACCTGGGTACCTGTTACGAATGCAAATAAAACCAAACCAAATGTGTTGCCACTGAGTGGATTCCAACTAATGGTAACCCCGTGTGTTATGGAGTAGAACTGAGCTCCATAGAGTTTTCTTGCCTGTAATCTTTTTACAGAAGCAGATCGCCAGGCCTTTCTTCTGCAGCACCACTGAGTGGGTACGAACCATCAACCTTTTAGTCGGCAGTCCAGCACAAATCATTTGCACCATGTAGGGAGGATAGATGTAAAACCTACTGTCTTCGAGTTGATTCCGACTCCTAGCGACGCTATAGGACAGAGTAGAACTGCCCCCTAGGGTTTCCAAGGCTGTAAATCTTTCAGAAGTAGACTGCCATGTCTTTCTCCCGAGGAGCAGCTGGTGGGTTCGAATCACCGACCTTCACTTAGCAGCCAAGTGCTTTAACCACTACTCCACTATATGTATATGTGTATATATATATATATATATATATATTCTTTTAAGCTGGAAAATGTGGAATTCCAGAAGAATATAAATGTGTCTGTGACATGTGACTTCCCACGTTCTTTGACTTAGTAATTATTCCAAAGAATTACTAATTCTTAATAATGACTACTAATAATTACTTAATTGATAATTGATTGTAGTTAGCTGCCATCAAGTTGACTCCGACTCACGGCGACCCCGTGTGTACAGAGTAAAACTGTTCCATAGGGTGTTCAAGGCTGTGACCTTTCAGAAGCAGATGGCCAGGCCTGTCTTCCGAGGCACCTCTGGGTGGGTTCGAACCACCAACCTTTTGGCTAGTAGTCAAGTGCTTAACCGTTTGCGCCACCCAGGGACTCCTTGATAATTAATTACGATAATTATTGATGGACGGTCTCTCCAGTGGATGCAGCAGGAAGGGCCAGTGAGATGGGAGAATCACGCTGCTCACAGTTAACTTGAACTTATCTCAGCACAGACGGGTAATATTAGGCACGTGTTACTCAATTTAAGCTGCATCTGAGAGGCAGTGAGTTACGCTTTTCAGGAATTCACCCTCTGGAGGTAGTCATCTCACATACGTACAAAAGAAAAATAAATCCTCATTCTAGCAGCGTCTCCTAAAATCTCTTCAGTTACCTTGGTTTTTTAAAAATCAAACCCAGAGGCCTTACTAGTTAGTACAATAAACAGTGGAAATGGGTTTTAGTCGTTGTGATTCGTATCTTATTAATCAGCATCATGGATGTAAAAAGAACTGTCAATGACAAAATTGCTTGTATTCAAGATACGTGGAGTTGCTGAAATGTTCTAGACGCGCCCTACGTTTGCATGAAGAAGGCAAAAGCATTCACGGAGTCTTGGACCTGAAGGATGGTGCCTGAGGTCCTAGCCCTGAGTGGTCCCACGTTCAGCCCCGAATTAGGAGGTTTCTGGTTCCCCGATGGAGTCCCTGGGTTGTGCAAATGGTTAACATGCTTGGTGGCTAACTGAAAGGTTGGAGGTTCAAGTCTCTCCAGAAATGACTCAGAAGAAAGGCCTGGAGACGGACTTCTGAAAAACCAGCCATTGGAAACTCTGCGGAGCCCAGTTCTACTCTGACACACGTGGAGTGGTCATGCGTTGAAGTCAACTCATTGACAACTGGTTGGCTGCCTGATACTGACCATGTGATGAGCTGAATCTTAACCCCTAGAACATCCTCACCTTCCTGCCAATGAATCTTTCATCGACAGTGTGATCAGAACACTTTAAAGGACAGTAAGCTTACAAAAAGATTGCATGACTTATGCCTGCTGGTGGATTTGTTACACATGGTGGATTTGGTCTGGGGCTTGCTTTCCTTACAACCTGGTAGTCAGGTTATGGAGGATAGCTAAGCATCACCTGCCTCTAACTAATGACAGCTTCTGTGATGCAGCAAAGAACCTGAGTGTCGGGCCTCTTATACTGGTTTAGGAGGGTTTCCACCCAGTGAGCATAATGATTTCTCTAAGATAAATTCCCTCTGTTGTCAGCTGCCACTGAGTCGGCCCCCGACTCACGGCGACCCCCTGTGCCAGAGTAGAACTGCCCCATAGGGGTTTTCTTGGCTGTAATCTTTACAGAGGCAGTTCACCAGGCCTTTCTTCCGTGGAGCCGCTGGGTGGGTTCGAACTGCCAGCGTTTGGGTTAGCAACCTGTCGTAATCCACTTGCACCACCCAGGCTCCTAAATTCCCTCTACTTTATGGCTTTCCCCAAAGGCAGCGCCGTTCTTCCTAAGGATGAACCCGTGAGTCATTCCTCAGCAATGAAACTTGTGTTCTAGACATAGAGCAAAGGATCCCTGGTGGCACAACAGTTAAGCACTCGGCTGCTAACTGAAAGGTTGGTGGTTTGAACCCACCAGCTGCTCCTCAGGAGAAAGAAAGACCCAGCAGTCTGCTCCCATAAGGATTACAGCCTAGGAAACACTATGGCGTGGTCGCACCGTGTCCTGTAGGGTCACTCGGAGCCCAGATCGACTGGACAACACACAGCCACAGACATACAGCCCTATGGGATGTGAAAGCCGCCCCACAGTGGGATTGGAAGGAGGTTTTGCACGACTCAGCCCCGCTCTCAGCCCTTCTCCTCTCTTTGGCTTCTTAGCACATACCTGTCCACCGTGGCCAGAGCAAGGTGCCCCTGAGCAAGGTGTTGTCTGAGCACCCGTGTGCTTTTGCTTGTCTGGCGGTAGACGCTCCAGAAAATTCCGCCCAGCAGCACCCCAAAGCCCAGAGGCAGAAGCAGATAGGCCAGGATCAGCTTCCCCCGGCAGTTGAACAAGCAGCCTGAGGAGATAAGGAAGGCCCCCAGGCAGACCACCAGGAAGCCGGTGAGGAGCATGAGGGCGCAGAGCACGAGGCTGCGCCTGTGCTGCATCCCTGCTGCTTTGGGACCTGGCGCCCTGAACCCGCCACTCCCTCAGCCCAGCGAGCTTGGAGAGAATGCGCTCATTAGCCGGCTGGCAGCTTTATACGCTCGGGGACCAACTGGCCTTTGGACAATTAAATGAAGCAGGCACTTGGAAGCTGTTTATTAACTGTGGGAAGTAACTGTAATCGCCTTGGAGGATTAAGCTAAAAACATAGCATGCGTGTTGCATGAAGGAGTGGCTTCTCCTAGCTATTGTGCTCTTCTGAGCTGGGAAGGACCCTCAGGGGGTCCCAGGGATTTAAGGGGAGCCCCCCCACCCTTTGGTCAGAAGGACACTGGTCTCTTAATTGCCACAGTGGATAATACCCCCACTAGAAGCTAGAGAAATTAGCATTCCTGGATCAGCTATCTGCTTTGTGTTCAGCGAGGGGTCCTTTGCTTCTTTCTTCTTTGTTTTTCTTTAAGGTTTTTGAACATTTTCATCTTGCCTTCCTCAATGAATCTCCCTTTCTTGCCCCACACTGTGGTATTGGAAAAGTTCCTGGGTGCAGTAAATGGTTTGCAGTCGACTGTTTACCTAAATGTGGGTGGTTCGAATCCACCCACCCAGCAGCGCGGTGAAAGAAAAGGCCTGGAGATCTGCTTCCATTAAGTTTAACAAAAAACCGAACCTGTTGTTGTTAAGTCAATTCCAACGCACAGTTATCCAGTTCTGTCTTGGAGGAAGTACAGCCAGAATGCCCCTTAGAAGTGAGGATGGTGAGACTTTGTCTCCCATACTTTGGACATGTTATCAGGAGGGACCAGCCCCTGGAGAAGGACATCATGCCTGGTAAACTAGAGGGTCAGCAAAAAAGAGGAAGACCCTCCACAAGGTGGATTGACACAGTGGCTGCAACAATGGGCTCAAACATAGCAATGATTGTGAGGAGGGCACAGGACCAGGCAGTGTTTCGTTCTATCGTACATGGGGTCGCTATGAGTCAGAACCAGCTTGACAGCAGCTAACCAGAACAACAACAGGACAGAGTAGACCTGCCCCACAAGGTTTCCAAGGCCCTAAATCTTTACGGAAGCAGACTGCCACGTTTCTCCCGTGGAGCCGCTGGGTGGGTTTGAACCACTGACCTTTTGTTTAGCAGCCAAGCACTTAACCACTGCGCCACAGCCAGGAAAATCCTATGGGGCACTTCTGTAACTCATGGGGTGGGCATGGGTTGGAATCAACTTGACGGCAACTAACAGCAACAACACGGTATTGGAAAAATTCCAAAGGAAAAGCCCACGGTGAAGCCCTCCAATTGCTTCTTCTCTGTTGACAAGAAGGTGAACTTCAGCATGGGGGGAGGGAATGCGTCAGAAAGAGGAGCTGTAATAGATAGCGCCTTGGGAATTTGGAGAGATTTCTGGGGATGGCTGTGAAAGATGATGGTCCAGGTTGCTTCTGCTCCAATTCTGGTTTTGAATCTCTCCCACTGTCGGAGCCCAAATGTTGAGATCCCAGGATCACCTGTGGTTAACACATAGGTGCTTGCTAAACATTGTCTGCTTATTGTTCAACCACCCGCCATTCCTGGCTCACTAGAAACCTTGGAACCAGGTCACCTCCTTCCTGCCCACAGCAAGCCACCTTCTTTTGATGAAAGAGCGAGCATTCCCGACGTGTGTAGCACGTTACTACCTCCATGCAAAACAAAAGCATCTGAGAAGTGCTGCCTGTTAAGTCCCCACCCTCATCACACACACACACCTTAGGGCTTCAAGGAACACACGAGCATATTAATGGCTCTGATGAGTCCTGCAATCTTTCCCCCCTCATAACATACATAACAAAACCACTCAGTTGCCATTGAGTTGATTCCAACTTATGGCAACCCCATGCGTGTCAGACTAGAACTGTGCTCCACAGAGTTTTCAATGGATGATTTTTTGGGAAGTAGATTGCCAGGCCTTTCTTCCAAGGTGCCTCTGGGTGGACTCAAACCGCCAACCTTTCGGTTAGCAGTCGAACGCATTAACTGTTTCAACCACCCTGGGACCTCATAAAATGCTGCTAAAAAATGTCCCCTGTCTCCTCCCCATACCATTGCTCTATGTAGCTTTGCCTCAAAGAATCTTTCCAGAACCAGCCTCCTGTTTTCCGTCACAAATTTGTTCCATCTTGAGTGTCCTCAGTTGCCAGCACCTCATTCCTGATCTGGTTCATGCCCTGGCTCCTGCCTTGTTTATGTGATGCTTTGGCATGTCCCTGACAACTGTCCCCTGCCCAGAGAGACTCTGGGCTGCCTTTGCCCAGAGAGGTGGTCTTCAGTCCCTCTTTGCTGCCCTGGGACCCATTGCCCATGATCTTCTATTTACTTTCCAATGGGGAAAGCTGTTCTTTGTACAGTTACTGCCAGTTCCACGTACAGCCGTTAGCCTCTTGCCCAGCGTCTCCTCAGCTCTACCTTTATGCTGTGGGTAGGAGAGAAAGTAACCACAGATTAAACAGGACATAAGGCGCTTCCTCATCCCACCCTCCAAGCCCTGCCTTCACTAACTCCAGCCCCCACTTGGAAGGACTTCCCTCTTCTAGTCTTCATTTTACCCTTCAAATCTTTTTTAAAAAATCTTGTATTGTGTTTTCGGTGAAGGTTTACACGGCAGTTCAGGCTCCCATTCAACAATTTCTACACCAGTTGTTCTGTGACGGTTACATTCTTCACAATGCGTGAACATTCTCCTTATTTCTGTTCTGGTTGTTCTGTTTGTGGTAATCTAATTTTGCTGTCCCCTTATCTTCTCGTCTTTGTGTTGAAGTAATTGTTGACCTTTGGTCTCGTACAGGTGATTTTTTATAGGAGCACAGTACTTACTGATGATATTCATTATTTTTTTAACCAATTTGTTATTTTGCTACAAGTGACCTCAGGGGTTAGTTTTTTTTTTTTTTTTTTTTTTTTTTAATTGTTGTACTTGAAGTGAAAGTTTACAATTCAAGTTGGTCTCTCATACAAAAATTTATACATACATTGTTTTGTGACCCCAGTTGCTCTCCCTATACTGTGACAGCACACTCCTCCTCTCCACCCCTGATTTCCCATGTGCATTCAACCACCTCCTGACCCTCTCTGCCTTCTCACCTCGCCTCTGGACAGGAGCTGCCCATTTAGTCTCATGTATCTGTGTAAGCTGAGAAGTACACTCTTCACAAATATCATTTTATGTCCCATAGTCCTGTCTAATCTTTGTCTTAAGAGTTGGCCTTGGCAATGGTTTTAGTTCTTGGTTGACAGAGAGTCTGGGGGCCATGCTTTCTGGGGATCCTCCAGTCTCAGTCAGACCGTTCAGTCTGGTCTTTTTACTAGAATTTGAGTTCTGCACCCCACTTTTCTCCTGCTCCATCAGGGACTCTCTGTTGTGTTCCCTGTCAGGGCAGTCATTCAGGGGTTAGTTTTGCTTCAAGGTTTGAAGACTATCTCAAGGCAATAGTCTCAGGAAGTCCTCCTGTCTCAACCAGTTCAGCAGGTCTGGATTTTTTTTTTTTTTTTAGGAATTTGAGGTTCTATTCCATATTTTTCTCTCATTCTATCGGGGTGCCTCTGTTGAGGCCCTGATTAGAATGGTCAGTAGTGGTAGCCGGGCACCATCTAGTTCTTCCGGTCTCAGGGTCCATGAGGCCATGCTTCGTGTAGATGTTTGTCTTGTAGACTAGTTTCTTCTCTGAGTCTTTGGTTTCCTTCTTTCTCTTTTGCTCCAAAAGAGTAGAGACTAATAGTCGTATCTTAGATGGTTGCTCACAAGCTTTTAAGACCCCATACCCTTTTAATCAAGGAGCGCTGGCGGCATGGTGGTTAAAGCATTTGGCTGCTAACTGAAAGGTCATCAGACTGAACCCACTAGCTACTCCCACCAGCTGGGAGAAAGCTGTGGCAGTCTGCTCCCATAAATATTTACAGCCTTGGGAACACTATGGGGCAGTTCTGGTCTTTCCTATAGGGTTGCTACGACTTGGAGTTGACTCAGCAGCAACAGGCACGCACCTTTCAATCTTGAAGCAGCATTTTCTCTCTCCTTTCCTAACTGGGCCTTGCCATAGGCCAGTTTTTAAGATGGCCCCCCAAAATCCCCACCTCCTGGTATTCATGCCCCTGTATAATCCCCTCCACTTGAGTGTGGGTGGAACTTGGTGGCTAACCAGCAGAATGCAACAAAGGTGATGGGATGTCACTTCCATGATTAGGTTACAAAAGGTTGTGACTTCCGTCTTGCTGGTAGACCCTCTCTCTTGCCTTCTTGGCTTGCATGCTTTGAAGAAGCAAGCTACCAATGTTAGAGAGGCCCATCTGGCCAGGAACTGAGGGTGGCCTCTGGCCAACAGCCAGCGAAGAACTGACAGCCTCAGTCCATCACCCCTCTAGGAACTGGATCCTGCCAAGAGCCACGTGAGCTTAGAGTCAGAGCCTTTCCCAGTTGTGCCTTGAGGTGATCACACCCCAACCAACACCTTGATTGTAACCAGTGAGAGACCCTGAAGCAGGCCAGATCCTCAGAGTTGGGGAACAGCAAAAACGAAACCAATGAAAACCCAGTCAAACACCAAGAAATGGCCTTCAAGAGTCAATTTTAGGAGACCTGTTAACCTTAGACTGGGCTTCCTTAGACTTAGCCCTACCTTCTGAGTCTACCTGTCCTCCCAGGCCAACTCACCTATTCTTGACCACCTTGCCACTACCTAGCACTCGTATGCCACCCCACTTAAAGACAGCAACACGGAAGGAGAGGAAGCTTGATGATCCCCTACATTCAGACTGGTAGCATGGGTCTCGTGGGAAAATGGACATCTGGAGGAGGACGGACGGAGGCCCACCCTTCTACAAAGTTCTGGGACCAAGCGGAAGCCAAGCCAAAGCCCTTCTGTCCCAATGCCCATCTCCTCCACAAGAGATCCCCCTAAGAAATGACGTCTGGTTTTCATTTATTTTTAATATTTGATTTATTTTTGATGGCAATATACACAACCAAAC